CTATGTATATTTTCACTATAAAAAAAAAGGTCAAGAAGGGAGAGGGTTGACATGTTGTGGGGTTGTTAACCAGTGTCATAAAACAATATGTGTACTACTGTTTCATGAGAAACTATTCGTTCTGTAAGCCTTCACCTGAAGTACAATAAAAAAAAAAAATTCTGAGAGAAGGGATTTCCTGAGCAGCTTACTGGATTTCACAGGAGATTCCTCTACTATTTCAAATGCTGGGAAATAAAGCAGTAAAGGGATGCAGGATGGACACTCTGCTTTGAAACAAAGATTGCACAGTTTGCCGGAACTTCCTTTGTCCATCGGGGAACCCAATCTCAGAGGCAGGACTCCTGGTGGACATTCTAAGAAGCTGTATTTGCTGTGCTTAAAGGCATGTGGGATGCAAACTGTGCTATCTCACTTCCTTCCAAAGGCACCACCTGTGGAATTTGGGACTGTGATGAAGATGTTTATCTGCCTCGTGTTTCAGTTTTCCTTTCCCTCTCTGTGCTTAAAGCACTGATAATTTGGATTTTAGAAAAGCATAATAACAAACTAGGGCTTTTGAGTTACACAGTTGCCTGGCCGTTTTTGTTTGCTTCTACCAGGAAAATCAGATGGAAATGTTAAACGTGAAAACGTTAAGCTTATTTAGATGTATTTCTCCTCACTACTGAGTATTCCTTGTTTTCTACAGAGTTATAAACGTACTATTCTAGCCCTCTATTTCCTCTGTAAATACAGTTTTCTGTCCTTCAGAAATAATTGAGAATTTGGTATATAGTTCCATCAGTAACATTGTTTTCATTATGACCATTTCCTTTAACTCTCAATATTATAATGTTAAATAACCTAATCCGCAGGTTCTGAGGGTAATTGATTTTGTTATGTGCAGTGTTGATGTGTGAAGTACCACAGTTTCAATTCAGTTAATAAGACACTAGTCTGCTATGTGATTATGAGTTTTGCTTCTTAGTCAAAAATATTTAAAAAGTATGTTCACCTTCCTCCTTTTTTTATTTTTCCAGGCTCAGAAATCCTGGATAGAAAGAGCGTTTTATAAAAGAGAATGTGTTCACATCATACCCAGCACCAAAGACCCCCACAGGTAATCTTGCTGTCTTTATAATAGAGAGAGAACATGAAATAGTATTTGTGGGAACTAAGCTGTAATAGTAATTACTACCTATTGTAAGGAGACTACTGCCAAATTAAAGATCATTGTTTTATCGTGGGACATTTTTGAAGCAATTGTATATGTATGCAACACGATATGCCATGTCCACAGTTAATTCTCCAAGAGCCTATATAGAATAACAGATATACCACTGAGGAAGGAATTAAATCACTGTAAATAACAGTGGGATATATTTTCTTAGTATGGTTAGTGATTTTCCCTTCTAAGCGTTTCATGAAAATGCTTGGTTTGTACCAACATAGTCTACTACATGGAAAGAAGTCTTTTAAATGAACAACTCTTCGCAGAATACTAAGGAGCGCTGGTGACACAGTGGTTAGGAGCTCAGCTGCTAACTGAAAGATTGGCAGTTTAAACTCACCAGCTGTTCCGGGGAAGAAAGATGTGGCACTCTGCTTCTGTAAAGATTACAGCTTTGAAAACCCTGTCCTACTCTGTCCTATAGGGTTGCTATTGCATTTGGGGTAAAGTAACATACAACTATCTGGAAATGCCTTTATGAACAGACAATATAATAAAACAGTTTAAAATATAGAGTATAGAGTCATATACCTTAACACAGGCAAGTCACCTAATCTTCAAAATTGCAATCATTTCATCCACAAAATGGGGTAATAATACCTTGGTATATTATATTTAATAAATGGTAGCTATGTATTGAGACTGTTATTACTAATACTAGTAATAGTGGTACTATTAATGTGTGAAGGACATTTTCTTAATGGAAGGAGTACACTTTAAGTTTGCAAGTATCTCGTGAATAACTTTTTTCATTGTTTCTTCGAGAACATTTAAGCCTGAAGATTTTTATTCCAGGTATTGGATATGTGACAGTGAGTGTCAATTTGGAAGAGACAAGTTAGCTTGTGACTCACATAGGACTAGGGTTCCTTATTTAAATGTGCATGTTAAAATTCTTCCTCGATACTAGTTCGTGTCCTTCATGCAAGACTTGATGATGAGAGGAAAGAGAAGTAAAAACATCTAGAAAACCTTTGTTTTCAACTGTCCAATCCTGAACAATATGCCGGTTGTGAAAACGGGAGCGTGGAGAAAGGCAGGAGGCACGTTACAGCTTATACAGCTAAAGGAAAATGGGAGGGGGAGAAAGAAAGATATGTATGTCAAGTCAATCCTAAGCGAACCATTTGCCTGATACATCCACACAGGAGATTCTACCCGAGAATTGACTGAACTGGGTCGCTGTACATTGTAGATCTCTGTAGCCATTTGCCTTAAACGTGGGTATTCCAATTGTGGCTAATAAAAGGGGATGACTTTGTCTTCTTATGTTGTAGGTGTTGCTGTGGGCGTCTGATAGGCCAGCATATCGGCCTCACTCCCAGCATCTCGGTTCTTCAAAATGAGAAAAATGAAAGTCGCCTCTCCCGAAATGACATCCAGTCCGAGAAGTGGTCCATCAGCAAGCACACTCAACTCAGCCCAACAGATGCTTTTGGGACCATTGAGTTCCAAGGAGGTGGCCATTCCAACAAAGCCATGGTAATCAGAAAGCCATTCAGTGACTTGCCAAATGCTATTGTCAGTCCTGCAATGGAGTGGTTAAGAGCTTGGGATTTAGTCTTGGGGCTGAATCTCAACTCTGCCGTTCCTGGCAGGGTGACTTTGTTCTAATTACCCTGACCCTTTGTGTCTCAGCTCTTCATCTATCAAATGGGAAAAAAGAAGACCTTTCTCCTAGGATTTTTCTAATAATTAATATGAGATCAGACACAATGAGTATTATTATTAATAATAATAACAAATAGCTTTCTCAAATTTTCTACTCTCTATTATGTTACTTTCTCGATCTCATTAAGACATGTTTTCTAGCTCCTTTTTTGTTGATGAAGAATATGTCACCTTTAGATTTCTGTTTTATTCTATTTGAAACTAGCAGTGTTTCTCAAATCAAGTTAGAAATGACCATCCAAGACTATTTCCTTCCCTGTTGTAAGAGAGGTTGCCATCCCAGTTGAGTGCTTTTTCTCCAAGTGACTTTGTTCAGTAATGTTCTCAGTAAAAGGGTTCCATATGAAAAGTTGTTTGTTTTTTTTTGAAAGGAGCTTCTAGAAAATATCTAAATTTCACTTTTAAAAGTTATCACTTGTAAACTTCAGCTTTCATCAGGGACCACTGTCTACTTGGCTGACAGATTTTACAAGGAGAAAAATATAGCATCTTTTCTGGAAGTTCTAGAAATGCTGCATTCCAATAGCTT